CCACCCAGTGATCAATCAATTGTAAATGCTTGGTTTATTTATTACGCTTGTTTGTTTGATATTTTTAATGTATCCGTTTTAGTTACAACATCCCTTTTGGGTATACTTTGAAATAATTTCAAATGCATCACTGAAATAATCATATTTGTAAATGTTAAAAGCAAGTTTAATATTGTCTTGAAAAAAGAAACAATCAGGAGATTGAGTAGTTCAGAAAAATCAAACCAATGGGGTACACAACCAAAACGAGGAAGTAAACAATGACAAATTTAAGGTCGATAAGAATCAATCAACATCGAGGTGTACAGAACAAGCTGTGAAACGGATATGGAGTAAATCAAACACTTCACTTCTATCTAAAGTTTGTGCTGATGATCATGTCGTTCAGAAGAACGATGAAATCTTCACGACCAAACGATCATCCAGCTCAGAGAACAAAACTCCATCAAAATTGAGTAGTATATTTTATCAGTAGTCTGATTGTATACAACATCGAAAATTCAATAAAATAAATTAGGATTATTCTACTCAAGTGAAATTCTTCAAAAGATATCTAACAAGTTTCGTTGATAAAAAACAAACAAACAGACAATATCTCGGCTTAAAGGATACTATTCGAGCATAAATAATCCGTTCCCAAAAATAAAAATTTATCATATAATTTCATTATTAAGAATCTAATGAGAAGATAAAAGGTGGATATATTACAACCAATTATGATCCATGTTATCTAACATATCCCAAAGCTTCACTATCTGAGATAAGTTTCAACGTATATACAATAACAACCAAAAATATCTATGATGAACTATCCACTTAGATTTAATATCTTTGCATTGTACAACAAAACAATGTAATTATATTTGATCCGAAATGGATTTTGTGGATATTATAGTTGACTTTATGAGTTATTTAAAGCTAGGCCATCATAGAAAACCTAGAAACACTGAAAAGCCGTTTCGTCCTAATATAGGACTCTTTAACAGTGTGCAGCCACAATCCCACTCACTGGATTCAAACCTAGGACCTTTTGGTCTTGTGTATGAATGTTTAACCTCTAGACCATGAAGCAAGCTGGCATCCCACAGTGTTCATGTGTCTAATTTCAACCATATAACAAATTTGAAATTCATATTACGTGTATATCACTTATTAAGGATCGGTTATTGATTAAAACCTTATTTTATGAACAATAAATGTTTATTGATAGACAGAAATACAACTGAATACTTTAGATTATCAAATGAAACATTCATACAATAAGTGAAAAAAAAAAGGAAATTGTATTGATGAATTGAGAAGAACTGAATAGAATCACTCATCAATCATCCCTATGAAATAGATCCATTTTAGATAACACGAACAAAAAGTGAAAAGTCTAAAATGAGAGAAATCAACTCAAAATCCCTCCTCCCTCCTCTCCCCTCCAAAAATAAGAACCCAACTCAAAACGTAATACATCACTTGTAAAATATAATCATAATAGATGTATTAATGTAATGATGTAAGTGATAAGTAGAATAATGTTAGAAATAGGGTGAGATAAAAGAAATACCATAATTGAATGCTTATCTATGTAATAACTATCAGTATATAGTTGTGGAGATGATTATATTTTGATTAAGATCATGAACTGATTGATGTAGAATTGCTACAATAGAACAAGATGGTCATTCAATGATTTCAAGTTTTCAATGATAGTCTAATATCAATCAGTTCATGATCTTAATCAAATATATCAAAGAGCTGCTTTATAATACAATTTGTATAATGCAAATCAACTTACTATACCAGAATGGGTTTTGTGGAGATTTTAGTAATTTCAATAGTTTAGATCATAAAAAGCAGTGTCCAGTGTAGTTCAATCGGTTGATTTGTGAGATACTAACTCATTGATGACAATGGTGAATATGTCACTCAATTTCGTGGATTGATTGGAGTTAGACATTAACACGCTTAGATGTCAGCCAGCTTAGTGGTCTAATGGTTAAGCGCTCACGTGTGAGACTGTTAGTTCTTGGGTTTGAATCCCACAAAGCGTGGTCGTAGATGCGCACTGTTGACAGAACGGTCGTTCAGTGCTTCCAAGTTTTCCATGGTTGTCTAGCTTTAATTGACTCATGTTCTTAACTATTTAAACTCACCTATACTTTGTAATGAACTCGTTCTTGTCATATACTTATTAAAAATTTAATACTCATGTTAATCTGTTTAGTCGTTAAGGTTCATTACTCTTACGATCATATGAGTTTTTTTAAAAAAAAAAACCAAACTTTCTTGTGATCATTTTCTGATTGAATATTTCAATGAATGTGGAGATTTTGTGTGATATATCGATCATATGATATGAAACTCATAGATTTATTATTAGTAACTTAGGTAACCATTTAACAAGGAGTAAATGTTATTCATTTGTCAATGAATGATGATAATCAAATTTAATTTTAATATTCATGAATAAAATTGTTATGTTCTATAAGACTGAGTGAAATGTTCATGTTATTACAGGTTATCAATACATACGTTGCTTCTTTTTGCCATCCGTGTTTATTGGTAAGATGTGTGTCTACTAGTTAAAGGGAGTGTATACTACACAATAGTGCACTTGGTTCCATTTTATAACTGTTCAACATATGGAAATCAAAGTAAAAAAAAAAACATAAGCAAGAGGTTTTCGATTACATATGTCTTCGAAGTATTGCTCGCTTTATCGTGGAACTATCGAGTAAGCAATGTTGAGGTTAGATATAGAGTACCAGAGAAATGTAGCGAATCAGTTGAAGAGGTTGTATATCTTTATCGATTAAGGTGATCGTGATATGTGTAGCCTGTACTCAACTTCTGTCTATCTCAATAGTTGGTACTTGCTAGTACAAAAATAGTTTTAGAAGAAAGCTAGAAGTAGACGGATTAAAAAAGAAGGTAAGTTCATAAAGTCATCCACTGTTTGTCTGAGGCATGTTCATAGATGCAGACTACCTAATTGTAATCTGTGTGATAACTACAGTCAGTGGTTAGAAACTTTGGATAAAATGGATCAGAATGGTGCTCAATTACTTAGTTACATTCACTCATTATATTCACTTAGTTCCTATATTCTGAAATCTTCTTATTCATTTGTTTCTTCTTTTTCTTCCTTAAATTTAATCTTCTCTACTTCCACTGATTCTATTAGCACTTCTACTACTCTGGGATATATGTTGATAATATGGTTTGGCCATTTGAGTCGATGTGCACATATTACAGGTTCTACATTTTACACGAATGTATGACTTTTACATCTCATTTGTTTACTATGACCCTATTTTTATACTTTTGGTTGTTCTTAGGTTTACTAAATATTTCTTTATTTCGAGAATTCTTAACTACCATTCATATTAAAAGGTTTCATTTCAAGTATTTGTTAAACAGCACTAACACCATCTCTCTCTCTCTCCCTATGATTACATCTCTCTAATCATTTTATAAGTTATGTAATCAGTGTCTAATGTAACTAAGCCAAATTATCGTCACTATTTCACTGGTTGAAATCATGAGTCAATTGAAGCTAGACAACCATGGATAACCTGGAACAACTGGAAGGTCGTGTCGTCCTATTTCGGGACTTCTCAGAAGTGCGCGTCCACGATCCCGTTCCCCACGAGATTCGAACCCAGGACCTGTCAGTCTCGTGCCAGGCACTTAACTAACTAGACCACTGAGCCTGCCGGCATCCCACGGTGTTAATGTTTAACTTCAACCAAACGTAACTATTATTCTGATAAAGAAAACATTCTAATCATGTATATAAAATTGTATGTTTCGAAATACAAGATTGACAATGATTTTGATGGTTTTTTATCAAAAAAAGGGAACTTGTCATAAGGGATTCTGGTGAGATTATAATTTATGGATGATCTTTGAGTGATACTAAAATGGTGTTGAGAATGTTCACCTACTGACTAGGGCTAAATTAATGTTTTGAATCTGTGTAAAGGATAAGAATTGTGATTAAGAGTTGATGGTTAGGGTTAGGAATTCGATTAAGTTTTTCTATCACGAAATGACATGAACTAAAATCCAA